TTTTCATCCCAGCCCGTGCCAAATTTCTCGTGAGCCGTATTCCTCGTGGTGGCTGACCTGTGAGGCTGGGTCCTGTGGGTGGGGGAAGGGGAGGGCGGGAAAGGGAGCTTTGACACGACGGCAGTCATTCGGGTGGTTGTGTGGTCAGAGTGATCAGAATGGTTGAATGGATGGGAGCAGCTGTACCAAGGCGTGGCGCGTCATTGGGGGGGATGACTTTCGATGCGACCGTGCACGGCAGCATTCATCGCGAACTGGGACTACAGAAATTCTGTGGAGGGAAGCTGTCGCTTGCTTGCTGAGGTGTCGGAAGCGCAATGGTAAATTGCGCTAGTGGTTGCTGTGTAACAAGACTGCTAGCAAGGATTTCATATATCCATATACTGTTGTTCACTATTCCATACAAGCATTGCATTACCGTATATATCTAAACGTCCCCTTCATCCAAAGCATCTGACAAAAATAGCATTAGCCGGATTAAAAAACCACAGTTACTAAATGTGGTTGGGCGCATGACGGAGTGATGTGGATGTTTGTGAGGCGGGTGGACGGCTAGCTTGCCGGATTACGGCTCCACAACTTCGCCATAGCCCCGACGCAAATGCGGATCTCGCTGTTTACTTTACGGATCTGAGGCAGCCGCCGTGTGCTGTTGATCCGTTCCGACGTGCTGCTCCGATCCCCATCGCGCTGCTCAGAAACACCAGATCGGCCCATTGAAAACCACGCGCTGCGGGTCTTGCCCCGAGGCGTGGGAGCTTCTGCAGCGTCTTGAGCTGTCGTGGCAGCTGGGGACGGTTCGCTGCGACTGAAACGGAGGGATGCATTGGCAGAGTAAGAAGTCGGACGCTCTGATTCGTAATGCGCCGAGTCCGCTCGCGCGCTCAGCTCCTCTGCCGCCTGCTGCGCCTCGACGACCGCCAGAGCCGCTTCCTTGATTCGCGACCGCGCATCGTCAACCCAGACGGGGTCGCATGCCATGTCAGCAACCCTCCAGGAACAGCTCGCGCAGAGGTCGTCGCCAAATATCGACCGCGAGGTAGCTAGGCCTCTGGAAGCTGGGGAGTCGAAGAGCTCATCCTCGACGTAACACTCCTCGGAATCGTGATCGAAGCTCACGGTGTAACAATCTCTTTCATCGCTGCCGTCGAGAGAGTTCGATGAAGGAGTGGTGCGGAGCTGGCCAAAGATTCCCGTGTTCAACGAGTCATGGCTCCCTCTTGACTGGCTTATCGTCTCTGCGAAGTTTCCCGAGCTGCAGTTGCTGCATCTTCTGAAATCGCTGAAAGCCTGCGCTGATGTCGAAGGAAGGTTGTTCTCGAAGATTGTCCGCTGCTCCCGAGTATAATCGAAGTAACACATGTTCTATGAATGAGAACTAGGAGGAAGTGGATAGTGAAGGTCTTTGAGGTAGCCTGGAAATGAGTGAAGAGATGGGACTTCTTCGTGTCCGCGTTGGAGTGATGGTGAAGGAAAGGACGGAGGGATAGGACGAGATGGTCGTTTGCACGAATCCTGGGGTTACGGCGCTGAAAGGACAGTTTGACGCTTCTTGAACCGAGCTCTAGACTTGTAAAACCGAGCCAGAACGTGTAACTTGTCTAGCGGTTGGAAGCCGATCCAACAAAGGTCACTCTATCGGGTTTATCCGCAACCAAGGTTGTGTAATGTGTTGAGAGGACGTGGCGGGGAGAGTGACCTTTGTTGGATCGGCTTCCCCCCGCTCCAGCTCACTTGGTGAAAAGCACCATTCTTTGGGAATGCTGTTGCTTCTGATTGGCTTCTGTCGTGCTGGCGCAAAGTTTCACGTGGGGTCACCACAAGTAGGGGGGGAGCAGCTGGAAAGCGACACAAAAAGGTGAGATTGCTCACGATTGCGATGCGATTTGACAGAAATTCTGTTCGAGGCACACCCCTTCCAAGTTCCAATCCAACCCACCCAACTGGGCACACAGCTGTGATGACGGCGAAGCGCTATTCGTTGGGACTGCTGTCACTTCTCCCGATTGGGCCCGGAAGTGCTGACGCTGCAATGCACCATGTGACGGGCACACCAAATCGCTAACAAGCGACAAAATGCTTGAAAATGAGGGCCACGTCAGCTTTCTTTGAGGGTCAAACCTGGGCACAGAAGTTCTAGCGCGGGATGGAGATCTCACCGTTGGGCTGCCAACTTTTCCGGGAGGTCACGGGCACGGGCAGTGGCAGCGTTCTTGGAAACAACGGCTGCGATACTGTACTGTTTGATTTGCTGCTCCAAATCTGCAAGCCTTGCAAGGCATAAAACCGCGACTCAAACGAGGTGATGCTCCCTGTGGTTCAGCTTTTGTTTTTCAGCACTGAACAAGCTCTTGTCGCGAATGTCGTCATGAAGTGGCAGTTATGCACTCCCTATACATGTGAACTGTTATGACGCTTGTAAAAAACACCAGAACTACTCTATATATACAGCCGATACAATCAGACTCAGACATCGCCACCGATGCGAGGTAACGAGCGGATTTCATAGCATAACAGAATTTATACTGAGGCAAAGTAAACGGGGCCAAAGAGAAGCTATCGAGGCTGACTTGAAATTTAGCTTTTGTTGTGGCCCTGCATAATCATGCAATGCAAGTGAGTACGCCAAGAATGCAGCACACAGTGCCCACATTCCCCAGATGCTTCTGCAAGGAAAGGGCTAAGACAGCACCAGGATCCGCATAGATTGACTCAGACGTTTGGCGGTACTAGCACGGAGTCGGTGCCATGAATGTACATGTCTTCCCCCTCGTACATGTCCGGAACTATCACTCTAACGGGTATGTCGCCCTTCCCCTTGAACGCGAGCTTGGACGAATTGACTTTTGACACTTTGGTGACGAACGAACCCTCCATGGTGGGCAGGCGCGTGTTGATGGGCAAGGCCTTCAGCTGCCACGCCTTGTACGCGCCCCTGATCGCGTGGTACGTGAACATCCGCGCCACCTGCGCATGAGCGACGGGATTGGAAAAAGAACACGAAAGAGGAGGTGTTCTTCCAAAAGCCAACTCCGTGCTGGTCAATTTCGGAGCTCGGGTGTTACTCATTCGCTACCTGGTTACGTCACAAACTATTGTCTCTAGAGCATGCTGCATCAATTGTTGACTTCTACCAAGTTTGTGGTCGGTGGAACAAGAGGCGCGAACCAGCGCCGCTCCGACGTATCCGTGCGGATCTAGCTGCTGTCTGTACAGTTTCGTTCAGCGTTGTTTTTATAATTGTGAACCGTCATTAATGTTGAGAAATGTTCAGGGGGTATACTCATGAGCGCATGGACGCGCATGGTAATTCGAACAGGGTGCGCAGACGATTCTCAAAAGCTTTGACTGTTGACGAAAGCATGACGACATACCTGATCGCTTCTGAACGTGGCGATGGACATGGCGAAGGCCGCCGCGTTGACGGGGAAGAGCAGCGTCGCGTTCTTTAACACGGCGACCCTGCCAGTGTCTGCAGCCACAGCACAGAGGAGGACCATAGTCGCGAGGTGGGGAATATGAAGCAGGTGCATGGGATGGATCAACCCGAATGCTGACATTGGACGCGGAGTGTGGCACGCGGCGGCAGCAAATTGAATAGATTACAGTGTTGGGTCCGCGCTGTCGCTAGACTCAACCGTACCATTATTCGAATTATCGTCTGGCGGCGCGTCTGGGGGCGTATCGTCGCTGTTCGTCTTCGGCTTGGCCCCGCCGGTCGAATTGCTCTTTTTTCCTCCTGGAGGCCGCACATCCCCGCTTCCGCCTCCGACTCCATTCCTCGACCCACCGCTGCCTCCAGTTCCTCCCGCTCCTCCCTTACTCCCCCCTGGCGCAGAAACCGGCGGTGGGCCTCTTCGCGCCCCTGTGCCGCCCCCAGAGCCCCCTCCCCCGCCCGCACTACCCCCTGGTTTCCGCGGAGAGCCTGCGCCGCTAATGGGTTTTTGAGGGGACTTTGCTACAGATTTGGGCTTTGTTGGAGACGTAACGTTAGTCGGTCTTCCGGAACGCGTGGACGCTTTCGGTGGACTGCCCGCTAAATCTTCTCGCGGTTTCATCTCAGCAGAGGCACAAATGATGAGCAGAGATAGTGCTACTAACAGAAGGAAAGGTTGCCGTGACATGACTGCCATGAGCGCGTAAGACACGTGGCGCCTAAGTTTCTCTAGTTGTAGTCTAATTTCGGGGATGAAGGCTCTGGACTAGGAACCCTGTTCTGTCGGATAAATTTCAAGCGTTGGAAAGGGATGATGAACTTGCAACAAGGAAATTGGCATTTCGATTTGCTGGAGGCGAGTTGGCGGCACCGACTGTGCAATTGTTTGTGGTGCAAGCAGCCACCAACATTTGAGACAAAGTGAGTGCGCGACTGTATGCGAAGTTCTTACGACCAAGATACTACTGACATCGGCCACTATCAACGTTCGCACTCGTCAACGGGACTTCGCATCTTATGTGACGACAACAAATTCGAGCCATATACTTTCGCGTGCGGTCCGAATATTTTGTGAAGGCGGCCTGGCAAAGAGCGACTGCGACATGAACGTTTGGGATGGCATTTTGGTTCAGTGCCGCGAAGTGCGGACCATCAAACTGAGAGACGCGAAATTGGTGACAAAATAATTATCAGATACAACTATGGATGTATGCATTTAACAATTTATCTCATTTAAAAAACAATGAAAAAATGTGTTGCCTATACATTACACTCGGTCGGGCCATTCATTTCAGAGCACTACTGGAAAAGCTGTGTGTTTTAGTACGTTGAAGCTAATGTAAGATGAAGAGGTCGACGTGCTAGAGAGACAAACCAAACATGCCAGGGTAACAGCGCGCGCGTGATTTAAAAGAGCCTTCTGGTAGTAACTGCAATTACAGAGGGGAACACGTCAGTAGGGATAAACCACCTTCACAGCATAATGCAGCAGCTGAACTGAAGAGTGCCTGCGGCCGACTTAAAATATTTGCATTACAGCCAGATACCTGTATCATACCCGGCTTCATTGATCAGGTTCTGATAGCGACGACCTCCGCGCTGGGAATGGTTGATGCGGGGTGGGCTGAATCAACAAAGCAGTGAGAGAGGCAGTGGTAGGGAAAGCGGGTGACGATCCAGAAAAGTAGCTGATGGACATACTGAACATGCTACTTTGCAGGCATGTCCAAACGAGGGGGAATAGCAGCTGGGCAGACAAAAATAGTATGAATGCGAGAAAAGGCTTCAGGAGACGTTGGCTAGGTCAAGAGCCATTTAGTGCTTCAGAGCTTGAAGTGGCAACTCACCTCTAGCTTTGGCTGTAGACCCCCCTCATTGGCTGCTGGAGGCTTAACTTCGCCACCCTTTTGCTGCAATAAGACAATTGGCGACATATGGAACAATTCTTCATCAGTGCCAAGGGCCGAGGAGCCAGTGAGCCAAACCAAAGGAATATGGTACTTCTGGAAGGTGAAGCAGTCTTTAAGACGTCTTTGCTGCTCCAGGGGGGTTCAGATGTAAGGGATAAGGTATCCTACCTTTTGAATTGCCCACTCGGCTGAGTCAAAGAAAGCTCTCTCATGACCCTGCAGGCAACGAACACCCATCATCGTATATCACACAATAACCAGCGTAAGAAAAGGAGAAAATACTGCGCCATACCAAGGACAGCGAGCACCAGAGAGATAAGGCAAAGAGTTAACACATGTGATTGCATTACCTTCGAAAGAAGCCCCTTTTTCTTCGGAAGCGCTCCGCCATATTTCTTCTTCAAACGCGCCTCCTATACACGTGAGGGAGTGTGGAAGGGGGGTCATTGTGGAGCAAGCACGCGCGGAAAATTGGGTGGTGGACCAAAAGAAGGTTAAGAAAAGTGGAAAAAAAGAAGAACAATTACCCAAGCAAACATTTGCAGATAGCATAATTCATTGTAAGAGTCGTTTTGGAACACAAATAGTGGGCTTACAATCGGCAGTCGCCCAAATTGGGAACGAGTGAAGTACCTGCTCTGCCATAGACAATTCTTGGTCCGCCATGGACTCCGAAATCGAAAGGCTCCAAGAGTACCGTGAAAATCCAAGATTGTAGGGCGTAGATGTGTTCAGCGCAGGAAAAAAACGATGAAGTACAAAGCGTCGAACAACGCAAGATAACCCGTCGGTCTAGTCTCCGAACAAAATGTGACACCCGGCGTAAACAAGCTCAAGCTTGTAAACTCTTCAGTTACAATCAAGTCTAGGTTTTTCGAGAAACGTCAGCCGCAACAATGGATGTTGAAAGACAGCTGGTGCCGGTGTGGGGCGACAGCTGGGAGCTCGGGAAAGTTACGATGGTGGGAGGAGTTGGTGGGGGGATGCGAAGGGAAGGGGGAAAGCGAGGTGCTGCTGACGGTGTTCTAACGGCGAAGACGGTTGCTGATTGGTCAATTACGGCAGCCTGCCGTTGCCGAATTGGAAAGGGGATGTTTCGCGACACAACGTGGGCTACGATTGGCAGCGAAACGAATGATGAGTTCGTCAGCTGGTGACGGGCTGACAGTTCCGCTGTTTGCGCTGGATACTGGGCTCTCCAGCGGCGATTGAGCCATAACGCGTTCCCCGTTATGTACGTAGCCGTATGCACTAGTGCCAGCTTAAATCGTCAAATTTATTCAAATCTGCAAGGTGTGAAAATCTAGGAGGATCCTAGTGGTCACCATGCGCGTGACCATTGGCCACATGTATGTACACAAGAAGAAGAAAATATCGAGACAAACTCTTATCGAATCAATCATCAAAGTGAACCGCAAAAGTGCGAATCTCCATTGGTCCAAGCTCCACAATGTATGGCCCGTCTGTGGAGTCAAATGCATCCCTCTGACCAACTCCATGAATGCCATTTGTTGACTCCACCTCCTCCTCAGTCCTCCATTTCATTGGTGGCCGCATCTTTGAGAGCTTCTGATTGGCCATCAGGCTGAGCTCGGTCACCTTCTCAATCTGTCAAGACGTGAGAGCAACGGATTTACAAAAAGAATATCAATAACAGATCATAACCAGACACTTCAAGTACAAACTAACAGGAGTGAACCGTTCCTCACCTCTTGGTGAGCAAAGAGCCTGTCAAGATCCACGCGAGCAGGCTGCGAGAGAATGGGGTCCTCCTCAGCCTGTGGAGACCACAACAGGGTCAAGAGACGCCAGGGCAGGTAGGATAGTGAGCAAGGGCGGTGGCACACGTGATGGATGCATAGAGCGGGAAGAAGGACAACAAGAAGACTCTTGCAGCAATGGGAAGGGGCAGCTGGTGGTCCAGTGGGAGGTTGGAACAGGTTGGGACAAGTGCAGTTCAGCACTGGGAAGGCAATGGATGGGCCAATGGAGCTTACTTGATAGAGATGGGCGACACGCAGCAGCACCTTGTACTCATGCACCTCCTGCAGCAGCGGTAAGGAGGGTGGGGAGAGGGAGAAGCAAGGGGGGAAAGAGGAGGCACATGTGTGCACGGTGCGCAGGAAGGAGCTGGGCATAGTAAGAGGCATAGCGCATCATGTACTGCAGTGCACCCAGAAGACAGTGCCAGCATGACAAGGGCAACTGAGAGAGCATGACAACAGGAGGGGGCTGAACGGGCTCGAAGGTACCTCCAGTGTGATTATGGCAATGTTCTTCGGTAGCTCATACACACCCCCCTTGCTCGCCCTCTCCCCACTCTCCTGATTCCCATCCACTTCCTCTGTATCCTCCTCCTCCTCATCCTCTTTCCTTTCTTCTTCATCGTCATAACCTTCCTCTTCCTCCACCTCCTCTTCCCCTCTCCTATCCCCCCCAATGCCGTTAGATTCTTTCATCGCCCGTCTCCCTCCCCCTCCGAGCCGCATTGACAGCATTGACTCTGTTGACTCCTCAGGCTTGCTCTTCCGGGTGCCAGAGAACTGCCACGTGTACAGTCCACCCTCGGCTGCCAGGTCATCCTCATTCTGCACCAGTCAACCGCAGTCAACCACGTTAATTCCATTCAGTCCAGTCAAGCACCATTATGCCCCACCAGTGACAGTTAACCACAGTCAACCCCATTCATGCCCCCATCATGCCCATCCAGGCAGACAAGGCCAGTCAACCGCACCAACAAGAAGCAAGCCACAAACACACGCCAGTCAACAATCAAAGGAAACACTGTCAAGCGGGTGCCAGGCAACTTAAAGCACGAAATTTCTTTATACGATGAACAAGGGAAAGCAGGCAAGGGGGGGGGGAAGGCGGGGGGTGGCCGGGGGGTGGGAGGGTGGGTTGTGTGGATGCAGAGAGTATGCCCAAGGGATGTGCATGCAGCTGTTTCACCCCCCGATGAATTACCCCCGCATCCCTCATGCAGCATGCCGCATGACCCATGGCCCATGCCACAACACCCAAGGCCCAACCCACAAGCCCCCATGCACCCAATATCCAGCCGCACTGCTCCATGCGCACTCCCCCAAATCCACCCACCTCAACAGCAAACGCCACTTGCAGTGGAGAGAATATTCGCTGAATATTCCCCCGCCGCCACTCTGCAGCCACCTCAACTCCCTCCTCCGTGCCATTCCCCGCCGCCAACCCCTCCCCACTCCCTCCCACCCCTCCCACTCCCACCACACCCCCATCACCCCGACCATGCGGGTGCAGCCCAAAGCGCAGAAACCCAGAGACCACGAGGCCCATGCATGCGGGGGGTTGCAATTGCGCTCCCTCCTCTCCTCCCACGCACACGCGCTCGTTGAGCGGCTCTGCCACGCCGCGGTGGTCGTCATGCAGCAGGCGGCGGTGCAGCATCACCTCCACCTGCCCGTCTGAGAGGCTGGTCGCCCCGCTGGGTCGGTCCACCAGCACTGAGAAGTCTGTGTTGTTGTCGTGCAAATAGATGCCCGCGTTCAGCTGGTGGGGGAGAGGGCGAGTGGTGGCAGTCGGGGACGAGAGGGGGTGGGACAGGGAGGAGGGGCATAGGGAAGGAAGGAACTGGTGTTGAAACGCTGTTGTACCGGGGACTGGAATGGTGTGGCAGGTTGGCTGGCACCTGGGATTGCAGTGAACAAAATACCATCCACTCACGGGGTAGTAGTTGCCAGCAGCAGGCTCTGTGACGGTGAGGTTCCAGTCGGGGCGGAAGTTGCGTGTGCGCTGGATGAAATCTCGGCCGTTGGAGTCGGTGTAGAAGGTGGCAGTGCTGGCGAGCGAGGAGGAGAGGCGCAGCACCACCTCCTTGCCAAAGCCATCGTCTATGGGCACTGGTCCCACCTGCGATGAGAATTTCATAGTGAGGAGGCGAGCAGGCAGGGGATGAGAGGGTGCAAGGGTGAGGTTGCGGCAATGCTGCAGAGGGAGGAGGAGAGGCATGCCACCACATGCTTCCAAAAACTGCCATACATGCTTCCAAAAACTGCCATACATGCTTCCAAAAACTGCCATACATGCTTCCAAAAACTGCCATACATGCTTCCAACAACTGCCACCACATGCTTCCAAAAACTGCCACCACATGCTTCCAAAAACTGCCACCACATGCTTCCAAAAACTGCCACCACATGCTTCCAAAAACTGCCACCACATGCTTCCAAAAACTGCCACCACATGCTTCCAAAAACTGCCACCACATGCTTCCAAAAACTGCCACCACATGCTTCCAAAAACTGCCACCACATGCTTCCAAAAACTGCCACCACATGCTTCCAAAAACTGCCACCACATGCTTCCAAAAACTGCCACCACATGCTTCCAAAAACTGCCACCACATGCTTCCAAAAACTGCCATACATGCTTCCAAAAACTGCCACCACATGCTTCCAAAAACTGCCACCACATGCTTCCAAAAACTGCCACCACATGCTTCCAAAAACTGCCACCACATGCTTCCAAAAACTGCCACCACATGCTTCCAAAAACTGCCACCACATGCTTCCAAAAACTGCCACCACATGCTTCCAAAAACTGCCACCACATGCTTCCAAAAACTGCCACCACATGCTTCCAAAAACTGCCACCACATGCTTCCAAAAACTGCCACCACATGCTTCCAAAAACTGCCACCACATGCTTCCAAAAACTGCCACCACATGCTTCCAAAAACTGCCACCACATGCTTCCAAAAACTGCCACCACATGCTTCCAAAAACTGCCACCACATGCTTCCAAAAACTGCCACCACATGCTTCCAAAAACTGCCACCACATGCTTCCAAAAACTGCCACCACATGCTTCCAAAAACTGCCACCACATGCTTCCAAAAACTGCCACCACATGCTTCCAAAAACTGCCACCACATGCTTCCAAAAACTGCCACCACATGCTTCCAAAAACTGCCACCACATGCTTCCAAAAACTGCCACCACATGCTTCCAAAAACTGCCACCACATGCTTCCAAAAACTGCCACCACATGCTTCCAAAAACTGCCACCACATGCTTCCAAAAACTGCCACCACATGCTTCCAAAAACTGCCACCACATGCTTCCAAAAACTGCCACCACATGCTTCCAAAAACTGCCACCACATGCTTCCAAAAACTGCCACCACATGCTTCCAAAAACTGCCACCACATGCTTCCAAAAACTGCCACCACATGCTTCCAAAAACTGCCACCACATGCTTCCAAAAACTGCCACCACATGCTTCCAAAAACTGCCATACATGCTTCCAAAAACTGCCACCACATGCTTCCAACAACTGCCATACATGCTTCCAAAAACTGCCATACATGCTTCCAAAAACTGCCATACATGCTTCCAAAAACTGCCATACATGCTTCCAAAAACTGCCATACATGCTTCCAACAACTGCCACCACATGCTTCCAACAACTGCCACCACATGCTTCCAAAAACTGCCACCACATGCTTCCAAAAACTGCCACCACATGCTTCCAAAAACTGCCACCACATGCTTCCAAAAACTGCCACCACATGCTTCCAAAAACTGCCACCACATGCTTCCAAAAACTGCCACCACATGCTTCCAAAAACTGCCACCACATGCTTCCAAAAACTGCCACCACATGCTTCCAAAAACTGCCACCACATGCTTCCAAAAACTGCCACCACATGCTTCCAAAAACTGCCACCACATGCTTCCAAAAACTGCCACCACATGCTTCCAAAAACTGCCACCACATGCTTCCAAAAACTGCCACCACATGCTTCCAAAAACTGCCACCACATGCTTCCAAAAACTGCCACCACATGCTTCCAAAAACTGCCACCACATGCTTCCAAAAACTGCCACCACATGCTTCCAAAAACTGCCACCACATGCTTCCAAAAACTGCCACCACATGCTTCCAAAAACTGCCACCACATGCTTCCAAAAACTGCCACCACATGCTTCCAAAAACTGCCACCACATGCTTCCAAAAACTGCCACCACATGCTTCCAAAAACTGCCATACATGCTTCCAAAAACTGCCACCACATGCTTCCAACAACTGCCATACATGCTTCCAAAAACTGCCATACATGCTTCCAAAAACTGCCATACATGCTTCCAAAAACTGCCATACATGCTTCCAAAAACTGCCATACATGCTTCCAACAACTGCCACCACATGCTTCCAAAAACTGCCACCACATGCTTCCAAAAACTGCCACCACATGCTTCCAAAAACTGCCACCACATGCTTCCAAAAACTGCCACCACATGCTTCCAAAAACTGCCACCACATGCTTCCAAAAACTGCCACCACATGCTTCCAAAAACTGCCACCACATGCTTCCAAAAACTGCCACCACATGCTTCCAAAAACTGCCATACATGCTTCCAAAAACTGCCACCACATGCTTCCAACAACTGCCATACATGCTTCCAAAAACTGCCATACATGCTTCCAAAAACTGCCATACATGCTTCCAAAAACTGCCATACATGCTTCCAAAAACTGCCATACATGCTTCCAACAACTGCCATACATGCTTCCAAAAACTGCCATACATGCTTCCAAAATCTGCCATACATGCTTCCAAAAACTGCCATACATGCTTCCAAAAACTGCCATACATGCTTCCAACAACTGCCATACATGCTTCCAAAAACTGCCATACATGCTTCCAAAAACTGCCATACATGCTTCCAAAAACTGCCATACATGCTTCCAACAACTGCCATACATGCTTCCAAAAACTGCCATACATGCTTCCAAAAACTGCCATACATGCTTCCAAAAACTGCCATACATGCTTCCAAAAACTGCCATACATGCTTCCAACAACTGCCATACATGCTTCCAAAAACTGCCATACATGCTTCCAAAAACTGCCATACATGCTTCCAAAAACTGCCATACATGCTTCCAACAACTGCCATACATGCTTCCAAAAACTGCCATACATGCTTCCAAAAACTGCCATACATGCTTCCAAAAACTGCCATACATGCTTCCAAAAACTGCCATACATGCTTCCAAAAACTGCCATACATGCTTCCAAAAACTGCCATACATGCTTCCAACAACTGCCATACATGCTTCCAAAAACTGCCATACATGCTTCCAAAAACTGCCATACATGCTTCCAAAAACTGCCATACATGCTTCCAAAAACTGCCATACATGCTTCCAAAAACTGCCATACATGCTTCCAACAACTGCCATACATGCTTCCAACAACTGCCATACATGCTTCCAACAACTGCCATACATGCTTCCAACAACTGCCATACATGCTTCCAAAAACTGCCATACATGCTTCCAAAAACTGCCATACATGCTTCCAAAAACTGCCATACATGCTTCCAAAAACTGCCATACATGCTTCCAAAAACTGCCATACATGCTTCCAAAAACTGCCATACATGCTTCCAAAAACTGCCATACATGCTTCCAACAACTGCCATACATGCTTCCAAAAACTGCCATACATGCTTCCAACAACTGCCATACATGCTTCCAAAAACTGCCATACATGCTTCCAAAAACTGCCATACATGCTTCCAAAAACTGCCATACATGCTTCCAACAACTGCCATACATGCTTCCAAAAACTGCCATACATGCTTCCAAAAACTGCCATACATGCTTCCAAAAACTGCCATACATGCTTCCAAAAACTGCCATACATGCTTCCAAAAACTGCCATACATGCTTCCAAAAACTGCCATACATGCTTCCAACAACTGCCATACATGCTTCCAAAAACTGCCATACATGCTTCCAAAAACTGCCATACATGCTTCCAAAAACTGCCATACATGCTTCCAAAAACTGCCATACATGCTTCCAAAAACTGCCATACATGCTTCCAACAACTGCCATACATGCTTCCAACAACTGCCATACATGCTTCCAACAACTGCCATACATGCTTCCAACAACTGCCATACATGCTTCCAAAAACTGCCATACATGCTTCCAAAAACTGCCATACATGCTTCCAAAAACTGCCATACATGCTTCCAAAAACTGCCATACATGCTTCCAAAAACTGCCATACATGCTTCCAAAAACTGCCATACATGCTTCCAAAAACTGCCATACATGCTTCCAACAACTGCCATACATGCTTCCAAAAACTGCCATACATGCTTCCAACAACTGCCATACATGCTTCCAAAAACTGCCATACATGCTTCCAACAACTGCCATACATGGGCACTGGCCCCATTTAGCGGATGGAGAGGAAGGGTGGCGACGAAGATGGCAACGTATGTGGCAGTGCGGGCCTCAAAAGGTTCCACCCGTGATGAGCACAAGAAGCAGAATCGTGACACAACCACCCAATGCATTACGCCGTGTCAGTGCTCCCTCAGGCCTTACAGCAATCACTGCACCCACAGCACTCAAAGCACTTCCAGCACTCACAACAATCACTGCACCCACAGCACTCACAGAGCACTCACCGCATACTCCAGCTCTGCATAGTTGGTGCCCTTGTACACTCTCACGATCTGACACACACAGATGGCAGGCAGAGGGGAGGGGGGGAGAAGCGAGCAGCATGAATAGCATGGAACTGGGAAGGAGAGGTAGAGAGAATAGCGCCCCCACTTAGTGCACCCACTTAGCGCCCCCACTTAGCGCCCCCACTAAGCGCCCCCACTTAGTGCCCCAACTTTGAGGTGCAGGTGTGAGGTGCAGGTGTGAGGTGCAGGTTTGAGGTGCAGGTTTGAGGTGCAGGTTTGAGGTGCAGGTTTGAGGTGCAGGTTTGAGGTGCAGGTTTGAGGTGCAGGTTTGAGGTGCAGGTTTGAGGTGCAGGTTTGAGGTGCAGGTTTGAGGTGCAGGTTTGAGGTGCAGGTTTGAGGTGCAGGTTTGAGGTACAGGTTTGAGGTCAGGTTTGAGGTCAGGTTTGAGGTGCAGGTTTGAGGTGCAGGTTTGAGGGCAGGTTTGAGGTCAGGTTTGAGGTCAGGTTTGAGGTCAGGTTTGAGGAGCAGGTTTGAGGTGCAGGTTTAAGGTGCAGGTTTGACGTCAGG